AGTCCGACCTCCCCACAATATTTTCAAATTGACCAATCAAAGGAACGAAATGGACTGAAAAAGACTCCCTTAAAGTGCAAATCAGTCCGGCCACCCCACAGATCAGTCGAGATAAGTCCAAATGACCTCTCGACCAATCAAATGAGCATAACGATCACCCAATTCTGCGAGATTCTTGCGTTTTACCGCTGCTCTAGATAAAGCATATATTTAATTCAAAACTGAGCTCGTAAAGACGTAAAGACGTATACTGGACTATGATATGAATTTCATATTATATTCGGGAATTAATTATTCAAATTTCGAAATAATAAATTAATTATTTCTTTGCAAAAAATACGTCAGTCACGCGACTGACTGGACTTACCCTAGATCCGCCCCTGAATTTTGACATGCGTTTGACCGTCATCTTTTACAGTAAGTATTCGGTAATTGTAAATTACAGTAAATTATTTTGAAATTCGCGTTTAATGTTGATTTCAGCTGTGGAAATAGCTTTGAACAAAAATTATTGTAACTACTTCGTGTAAGGAACCGATGATAGTTATGATAGAGGTTATTAAAAGTAGGTTAAAACGATCAGATGGTGTTAAAACTAGAGTTAGGGTCATGGTTAAGGGTTATGACTTTAACGTCTATGATCACACATACCTTATAATTTGCTGAAACTGTTTGGGGGTCTTACACGAAGTACTTATACCTGTACGGGGCATAATGTGTTGTCTATCCGAAAAGCGATTCAGGTTAAACATTTGATTTTAAACTAGACTGTGAGTTTTCCAGCGAATCGAATCCAATGTCTATAGCTTGTGGCGATATGTGTCTTCATCTTTTTCCATTATTCCATCTACAGTATTAATTACTTCCACTGCATGGCATGCAATTCTCAGAGTAATTTGGAAGAAATATTAAATGGAAAGAGTAAATAGAAATAGTACCTGTTTTTGTCTTGGAGATGATGTTCACCTGTTAGTGTGAGGAAAACGTTAAGGTGGCTCGATACACTTTTCAAAAATTCAGGGGTTCAACACTTTGATATGTTCAAACTACGCATTTTTAGGATTTATTCAGCAGTTATTGGGTTTTTTATATATTTTCGTATTTCTACTTTTAAATCATATTGGTTTTAGTAACAGATATTTCGTTGCTATGACGATATACGTGTACGAAATTCACTCCAAAATGGAATATCGCGTCGTATAGTTGGAAAGGAAGCATGGTGACCCCAATTTTTTTGTGCATTGTTTTACTTGAAACTGAAAAACTAACAATTACCAAAATATAAAAAAATGCCATTTTTTTCGAAGATGTGAAAATGTCGTACTCTTCGGTAAAACTGATTCTTTGGCATTACAGAATTTTTTTAATATTTTGTATAATAAAAGTTTTTAGCGGAGCAATACAGCATGCAACTGACATAAAACCGTCGTGATAAAGCTATAGAACACGCGCAATGACGTGGGATGGCGCGAGGACTTTACCTGCAACATTTGTGATGATAATGTTGTTAAAATCAGTATCGTACCACCGTCATTATTAAAACAAGAGACCCCCATGGTGACTTGTGCGCGTACAACCTGGTTAATGCTCAATTGATGGTTGCAATTTTTGCCCAGCTAAAAATTCCGACAACCGTTTTGGTGTCAAGTTGCTTAAAACTGAATTATATTTCAACTGATGTAAGGGTAATACTTCCGCGTAAAAACATGAAACGACTTCCTTGATCAGACTTGTACTCGTGGAAAGCACCCAAGCACATATAATGATAATATACAGTTCAATCGAGTGATAATATTGAGATAACGGAATTCAAAGACTATATTTTAGACTTCCAGCACTGTGAAAGTTCCTTGTATTCCCTGCTTGGGGAGGAAGTCAAACTTTCAAAAGCAAAATGTAAAAAAGTTCATTCCGTTTAGCCTACCTTCACACTGGATCGAACGACTTTGAAACCGTACACAGATTCGTTAGGTTCCACTTAATCACACGAGGAATTCTCATCCGGTCCTTTGTGAACAGAGCCTAAGGGCCTGTTCATATGCGCAAAAGTTATTCGGGTTAGCGAGAAAACCTTTCGACAAGTTTACAAGTCGCCTTTGTATGCAAATAATATGAAAAGTTACACTGCGTTCATATGAGACAAAACGTTTTCCTGTGTATACCGAGATATCGCTTGTTGACAGGCGAGATCTCGGTGACCGGAATGTTTTTCCCATACGAACACAACTTTCCCGCATAGCGGGATAACTTTCGGTCATGTCAGCAACTTTTCAATTCAATTGATGTCGAAAACTGTACCCGGTAAGCGGGAAAACGTTTCTCCATATGAACAGAACAAAAGTATTTGGCTAGTTGAAACGTTTTCTCGTTAACCGGGAAAATTTTTGCCCATTTGTTCAAGTGTAAGTAGAATAATGCAGAATAATGCAACCAAAGTGACTCAAAATATTGAGTATAAAATTATTCATTGACTAATTTATGAGCAAATTTACTAATTTTCTTGAATAAAGCAAATAAATGTTTACTCCGAAAATCGAGTAATTTTGAGTCACTGTGAGTCCTTTTTTAACTTTGCAAAAAATTTAAAACTTTGTCAAAATTTCGCCGGCTGAAGATTATTTTCATCGGCACTTAGTTATTTTCGTGAAGTGTGAATTGCCACTTTCATGTCTGCTGTCATGTATAACTAAAATGTTGCATTTTCGCAGATCGTTTACTGTATAAGCAAGACTCACGACACATTTTTGGAATATTTTGGGCAAGGGGTAAGTTCCCCCATTTTATTACTAAAATTATTAACATTAACAGAAATTATTAATTCTAAATTTTACATATGTGTTAACATTGTCTTGCAATTGCACACAACCCTATGACTATCGTAGCCAGAAAGTTATAGTTTTCAACTATGTTGAAAAAAAAAACCCAATGAGGGGTTTAGGTAATTTTCGCAATAATGTTCCCAGTTTGCCCTATAGCACGACAGTCAATCATAAAAGTTATTGGGAAATAAAGGTAACTTTCTACGAAGAGATGGACCAAGGTTATATACTTCTATAGTCTGATAATCAAACATTTTCTGTCGTCGACGCATTCTCACTTTCAGTGGGCAATATAACTGCTGCGGATCTTTCCAATGTACTATAAGTATTATTCCTCTCCACTCCACTTCCGGCCGAGTCACGTCGTAGTAAATTGCTCAACTTGTTGTATGGGACAAAAACATGTCTGACCCGTTGCATGACGTCATAAATATGACGGCCAAACTCGTCAACATTTCCCCAAGCGTTTCGAAGCCACTCCATAGCTAATGGTCGAATTAACTGAAGTCTGTCATACCATGAATTTCGCGCGGGTCTTGTGTTCATGTAATCTCTTGGGTAGCGCACAACACCACGCGAGCGGCCTGGAGCTGGCTCCCCTTCACTTGTCAAGTTTTCATATTCAGCACTAGTGCCACACTCTTCTGATGACCTCGCATCTTCTTCTGATGACCTCGCATCTTCTTCTGAAGTACGTTGCCGGAAAAACTCCACACGGGCGTAATAAAGAGAGCCTACAGAATTCAAATTCCAACATGTAGAACAGTAATTCCAGCATACATTAATTTCATTGTTTCTGTTCGCAATCTCACAAAATTATTACTGGAAATATAAAAATTTAAAACAGTCAGTTCAGTCAATCGACATATGATCTGGAAATTCGATAAACTTTAAAGCGTCCACAATTGGCTACGATTTTATGCTGATTTTGCTGATTAATATTTCAACAGTGCCCAACTTATTAACAATGAATTTTTGTGATAAATAACCAATCGCATTATTATTATTCAACAGTGCTGTTGAAATATTTACAGAAAACTTTCGGGATGAAGTGGTCTTAACTTAAAATCATAATCTCGATATTACTTGCACACCATAATCACGATATTACTTGTAATTTACCTTTTAATTAGAACAAATTAAAACTTGACCTCACCTGCTTTTCGACGTCGTCTTCGAAGAATAAAAATAAGACATGCCACTGTTACGATGATCACAAAAACAACAGCAGCAACAACGATGATACCAATCATCTGAGAGTCGAAGTGGACTGAAATTTTAAAAATATCCTTGTTTATTCGAATAGAAAAGCACCTCTTCTGGTTTCACTTGTCGATTGCTCTTTTGGTCGTGATAATAGTATGGACAAATTTGTCTGATGACTTCTGGTTGAACATTATGTGCTGTTGCTTAGCTTTGTGAAACCCACCCTCTTTTGGCAAAATTGGATCATCATTACTATAACAAGCATTAGAGGTAGATCTTACCTGGACAAGGTTTCATTTTACATTTCCGAATCACTTGAGCCGGCCCTTGTTTGCTGCAGTTTCCTCCATATTTTCCAGGGGGGTTATCGCACTGTCGTATCCTTATTTCCACACCTTGACCACACGTGGCACTGCATGGTGACGTTGTCCAGTTGCCGTAGGAACCATCGACTAGGAACAGAAATGCAGAATAAGGTGGCATTTTGGGAGGGGGCAATTTGACCCGGGCCCCCAGTTTAAGCGGGCCGCAAAATTTGCAAAATTTTAAAAAAAATTTGGAACGTTTTATAATATAAATAATGGTATGACAAACAATTTCTCATTTCTCTAAATTTTACAGATATTGGTTTAAAAAAATGAGTTTTACCCATGTTTTAAGAGAAATTTGTTCGGAAAAATTTTCTTGAACCTTAATTTATGTGGTGTTTGTCGGGAAATATTTTTTGACCCTTTTTTTAATGTCTGGAAAAAAGATTTTAACACCCCCCCCCCCTCCGCTCGCCAACATTTTGAGGAAAAAATAGGGGCCCCGAAATCAAAATTTGCCTCGGGCGCCGAATTTCTCTGATAGGCCCTGGAAGAAACACAATGTATTTTTAAAGCAAAAAACCTCATCTTGATCCAACCCGATACTCGGGATCTTCACCTCGGCTCAGCGGACGAAACATTAGTTCATTTTGTCGTGGCTCTTTTACGTATTATGGGCATTGATATTTATGCTATAAGATTACTAAGATTTCCCGTTGTATTGTAGCAAGAATAAGGGATGGTTCTTACAGGTCTTTAGGAAGGACAGTTTAGAACTGATAGAGATGTCCAGTATAGAACAGTAAGTTTGCAGAAAGTTAATTTAGTAATTTTATTTTTGATGTTTTATAACCTTACTTGGACATGGTGTTCTGTTACAGTTTCTAAACTCAGTCGAGTTCCCAAAACCACTGCAATTATGACCGCCGTATTTTGGTTCAGGATTATTACAAAAACGTCGCCATATTTCCACTCCATCACCACATGAAACACTGCATGGTTTACTGAAAGTCCAGTTGCTGTAACCACCGTTAACTACAGGTAATAATAAAAATTACAGAGGGAAATTAAAGAACGCTTTGTGCTGAGAATTTTTTTGTGTTGGTGTTGTGTACTCAGGTGAATATGATGTTTGTGATGTTACTCTGAGTGTATATCCACACCAGGTAAGCTTGAAAAATATGCCTGGCCACGGTGGGAATCAAACCTACGACCTTTGGAATACTAGCCCAATGCTCTGCCAACTGAGCTACGCGGTCAGGTCGGTTCGAGTATGTGATATTTCGGGATTGAGTCTAGTTCCTTCGATATCAATGCAATGTAGTAATCATGATTTTTTCTGTGTTGGTGTTGCGTACTCAGGTGAATATGAGAATCTTTTATTAATAAGGAATTGACTTACCTGGGCAAGGCTTTGTTGAACATGTTCTGTACTCAACAACAGGTTCTCCCAAATGACTGCAGTTTTTTCCACCATACTTTGGCTCAGGATTGTTACATTCTCGTGTCCATGTACCAAAACCTTCACCACAAGTTACATTACACGTACTGTTTAATGACCAGTTGCTGTAACTGCCATCAACTATGCAAAAAAAGAAAACATTGAGCTTTCGTTGCTGCACTCTAAAACAGCCTGGTTAAAATTTTCTATATAAACTGAAAGTATACTATTTGGATTGACTTAATTTTCCTAAATGTTCCTAGTTATTGTATTTACCTTTTAATTGCAAAGACCGAAGTTCAAAGGTAAACTAGGGCGACTCTATCCACTACCATGCGACTCGCCATGTACAGTTATAAGTTTTTAAAACTTTTTCAGGTAATTCAAACACAACCTACAATACCTGGTATACATAACACATTTCGGAATATCCAGTGCCTTTTTTAAGGAATTTTCACTGGGGGGGGGGGGCAAAACAGAAAAAAAAGGCAGAACGAAAATTATGAGCCGTCGAGGTTTGGCGAACACGCGAGTCTGAAGAGAGATTTTGTAAAACTTTAATTTATTAACTTCACCTATATTTTACTTTAAACAATAACTTCAACTCTTTGTAGCTATAATCGTACAGCTATAACCAGTGGTGTAGCCAGACCTTAATTTTTTTTGGGGGGGGCGAACCTCACCTCATGCCGAAGGCGTGAGACCGTCTAGGAGGGTCCGGGGGCATGCACCCCCGGGAAAATTTTGAAATCTAGGGTCCCTGAATTGCGATTTCAAGCATTTTGGGGGTGAAATCTAGCAAAATTCCGAAGATTATAAAGTACATCGAAGACATGAATTTTTCCAGACATTTCTACTCGGAATTAAATAAATTGGAAAAGTCACCTTGAAAAATAGGAGGAGGTTTCAGTGTCACCTTATTTCCTCTCTGTGATGCTGGGGGGTGGGGGGGTGGAGAGAAAATCCCAATGTGATTTTGATCAGAAATGTTGCATTTAAATCATTTTAGGTTCTATGAGACACCATTTCCGCATTCTCAAAATTGCGTTGCTTTTTCATACGATACAGAATAAGTCTGAGAAGAAATATTCATGCTATGATGATGCATACATGGATTTAACAGTTAAAAATCTAAACTAAATCTATTTTTCTTGGAACCATATCTACAACTGCTTTAACGAGATTTCAAAAATCAAGTATATCGTCTTTTTCCTCAGTCGAAACGTACTTAATCAGTTTCAGCTTCGAGCATGTAACGTGTACCCCCCCCCCCCAAAAAAAAGAAAAATTCTCTACGGATTTAGGCTTTCTGACAGAATGGTTTTTGTGGTGATTGGGGTGGGGTGGGGGGCTCTTAATATAACTTGATATTTTTAAGAAACAAATTTTGCAATAAAACCTCCCAAAACAAAACACAACGCCTCTGCGGAGGAGAGTGCTAGGAAATAGTCGCAAGGCTTGGAAAAGCTAGCATTTTATCGGATTGTTTGCATGAAATCTATCGCTATTATGAAATACTCGGTGAAGAACAATATGAGTTACACACAAGATGGCTGTGGAGGAGGCTATGGAAGGGCATAATCTCATTATCAAGTAAATCAACTGCAATGCTGACAGCAATCATGAGCAATTCTGCTTCGCACTTCGGGGGCAGAAATGGCTTTACTGGGGGGGGGAATTCTTTCCCTGGGGGGCAATTGCTCCCCCAGATATATAGTTAAAAAAGGCACTGGGGATATCACAGTACAATATTATTCTATACCTGGTTTACATTTAGGGATATCACAGTACGCCCATCTCTTGTTCCTGTCTGTGGTAAAACACCAAGGTCGTTGTCCGGAGTTCTGAGGGTTTCGACAATAATTCTCAGCATTATTTAGTTCTGGATAGGTTTTGTTCATGGTATGACGATGTGGACATTGCTCCGTCCATGATTGACACGAAATACCAGAGGCTGTTACTGATATGTTACCATGGTAACTGCTCCCGTTTAAGTACAGGCAATCTGCATGTGTGGAAAGATGATTATTAGTCTGGATTCATTGTCCCCGTTTTGAGACACCACATCAATTGTTTATAGATATTGTTATAAATTGTAGATAATTAACAATTATTCGCCGAAGGGGAGGTGATTATCGGTGAATAAAAACCGAGACGAAGTCGAGGTTTTTATTCACGATAATCACCGAGCCTGAGGTGAATAATTGTTTTAGTATAATTTCATAGGTGATTATTTAGAAAAAAAATAAAAAATAGACATTCCTACGTTATTTAATTTGACAAAACGGCTTCGGCTGCCATTTCGAAAATCGCTTAGGTGATTATCGCGTAATAATCACCTCAACGGCAACCAATAAGCGTGGAGAATTTTCAATAATCACCTATGTAATTATACTAATGTTATATATTGCCGAACTTTATGCTAGATACTGTAGCTCTTCAGTTCCAGAAAAAACCTGTGGTATTTGGAAGACTCTCATGCGACTATAACCCTTGGCTTGATTTAGGCTGCTCTCTGGGTTCTTACCCGCGTTTGTAGTCCATTCCGGAGATGCATCTAAAAATGTGTTACAATAAAGAATATGATGGTTAGATGATAAACGCTGTAGTGTATATATGCTCCACCAAGAACACCATATACTAAGAACGCCTGTGGTTACGTTCATATCACCCATGTCTGATTACAGAACACAAGTAACACAACCAAGGAGGAAAGGCTAGTTTTTGATAATAGAGTAAAATAAGAAGAAGCCTATGTCAAATGAAAATGAGAGTTGGTTATAATGTTACCTGTAGAGTTTGCGAGTTCATTGAAATACCAGCATTCTGGTGAGTTACCGGCATTTCTAGTCGGTTGTAGTTCGCCAGAAAGGAGCTTCTTGTCCTCCGGGAATTTAATTATATAATGCCTTAGAAACGCTTCAAAAAGTTTACCACACATGTGAGGTAATTCAAGATATGATTCACGACATATCTTTTGTTCTTTAAACACGCTTTGGGTTCGATCACAACTCGGAAAATTTTGATGACAATACACTATGGGGAAAACTTGTGCGCACTTTCTAATAGTACTGATGTCAACATTAAAATAGCGGCTTATTTTTGATGCATCCAGCTTCAAATATAAGTCGTAGTCCGCGTTAGCTTGATCATTTCTATCATTCTGATAGTCGGGCGTCTGATATACGTAGTTGGATAAAGTGATTCCATGATTTTGACAAAAAGGACGGGTAAAGTTTACCAAAGGATAACACGAACTCGAATTTAGTGTTGGTTCAGCTTCGGCAGGAATGCACGTCCTATACAAAGATTGAGCAATCACTAAGATAAAATAGTTTTAAATCTACGTCTATGAAACATTTGTTAAAGCTTGTGTATGGCAATGGATGAATACAATAATTAAGAACTACGCTTCACCATTAAGCCACAATAGGGCCATTTATATGGGACAAAATAAGTCGCGACTTACATAAGATGCGTCTTATATAAGTGGAGTTATCGCATAAATAGTTCTCTACGGCTTTATTCTTCTTTACTCGCTATAGCTGTAATGTTGTTTCCGTTGTTTTTGTTTTAATATGCAAGGCTAATAATTTTACATTGTTTTAAGTTTCGGGCATGTGTAGTTAGAATTTTTGTCTAAAGTTGCTTATTAAAGACGCGACTTAAATAAGAACAGCTAAAAGTCGTGTTCTTATGTAAGACGCGTCTTATCCAAGACGTGTCTTATATAAGAATTTTGTACCTTTTATACGACAAACTCGCGTCTTATTTAAGTCGCGTCTTATGTAAGTCACGTCTTATTTTGTCCCGTATAAATGGCCCTAGTGATGCCTAAAGCATACACTTAACTGTCTTAAGCACTGCACATACAGATCAGCAAGTTTTCCCTGATAGGCTTTGTTCGTGCGTGCAGCAAAACTTGACAAATTTTTCCTTGACAAGGAGCTTTGTCACAAACTAGTCAACAAGTAAATTTATTCGTGTGTATGGCCGCCAAGGAAAATTGTAGACAAACTCACAATCCGAATGTTGTTTTGCGATAAATGTATTTCTAACTAAAAAACTTTTACAACAACAACATGTTATATGTCATGCAAATTTGAATAAATCTAAATAACTTAATTAATTGTCTATTGTCCTAAATTGAATATAAACCAACTAATGTCAAAAACACTATTAATTAACGACCTATTAATGACACTCCCACTTTTTTGATATTTTAAATGTTAAATGAAACTACTCTTCCATCAGAATCGTGCTTCGCTCTGAATACCCATCTGCAACCAATAGCTGTTCGACCAGGTGGCAACTGTACAAGTCTCCAGGTCTTGTTTTCCACCAGTGAATTGTATTCTGAGTCAGCAGCAGCCATCCATTCTTTCGAGTGTTGGTTTTCTTTAGCTTCACTCATGGACGAGGGTTCTTCTATCTCACATACATTGTAAGCGACATGACGTGCGGGATGTACAGGACTAGCAGTCTCTGCATACTCGTCGTATCCATATCTGACAGGAGCTTTCCGTGTTCTACCAGAAGTCCTTGGTTCTGTGGATACTTCTTCTCCCACTTTTTCTTCTTCGAATTCCACCGTTTCGTCTTTCACGTCTTCTGTCGTTTGATCTTGAGATTTTGTCGTCATCATTTCATCCTTGTCGCCAAAATCGTTTTCATTGAACTCGACATCCCTTCGGACGACCATCTTTCGCTTGATTTCATCGAACAAACGGTATCCTTTCGATGTACGACAATAACCAACAAAGCGTAGTCTTTCCGCTTTCTTGTCCAATTTTTGTCGTTTGCTGTCTGGAACATGGGCGAAGGCCATACACCCAAACACACGGAAATGACTGACGTTCGGTTTTCTTTCATACCATCGCTCGTACGGCGTTGTATGATTCCCTTTGATTGCTGTCGTAGGCATTCGATTTCTCACATAAACAGCCGTGGAAATGGCTTCAGCCCAGTACATCTTAGGTAATCTTGCTTGTGCGATCATCGACCGAGCAGACTCGACCAATGTTCTATTCATACGTTCAGCAACACCATTTTGCCGAGGAGAATATGGAACAGTTAATTCATGCTTAATACCTTTCGCTTTGAGATAATCTTGAAATTCTGTGGAAGGATACTCGCCACCATTATCAGTTCGCAATATTCCTATCGATCTTCCAGCCTCGTTCGTTGCTGCAGCCTCAAACTCTTTAAATTTCTCCAGAACTTCTAACTTCTGCTTCATAAAGTACACTGCACAACATCGAGAGTAATCATCAGTGAACGTCACGAAATAGCTTGCTCCGCCAAATGACTCTGTTTGCATTGGACCACACACATCGCTATGTACTAGCTGTAGCTTGTGAGATGAACGAATTTCTTCCCGAGCAAGAAATGGCTTTCGATGCATTTTTCCAGCCAAACATGCTTCACAGAACGAAAGTTTGTCAACGTTTTCACAACAAATTCCTTTCACAATATTATTCTTAATGCAGCTATTTAGCCGTTGCTCGTGTACGTGTCCCAACCGTTGATGCCAAAGATCACTACTTTCCTGTGAAGCTAACGTAGCGTGTCCGTCTGAGACGTCTTCGCAATCCAACTTGTACAACTTGTTGGCTAATGATCCCATTCCTCGTAGTCTCCCACTGGCATCACTTATCCAGCATTTATCACCACGAAACTTCACCACGTTACCTTTCGCAACGGCAGCTTGAACGGAAAACAGGTTAGAGGTAAGCTTTGGAACATACAACACATTACACAGTACACCTCGCTTCGACTTGCTCCCAGAGAACAACATATCCATATGCACGTTACCAGATCCCAACGCTTGTACAACACGACCATCTCCCAAGGCAACGCTTTCGGGTTCCCCAAACTGTTGATAGTTCACCAGAACACTTTTTTCCTTCGTCATATGACTTGAAGCTCCAGAATCGATCAACCAATGACAATCAGAAAGCTTTGCATTTCCCTCGGACACTGTAAATACACAAGCACCACTTTCAGATTCACTATCAGAGTTTTGGGTCTTTCCGACTTTTGCTCCATGTCTTGATTTATACACTGGCTTTGTATATCTCGCTTTTTCTTGAGGGCAATTTCGACGAATATGGCCAACAGTTCCACACTTAAAACACGTTCGACTTTCCTGAAAATTTTTCTTTCGGTTTCCCATTAAGGCAGACTCGTTCTTAACTGACTCGTTCTTAGGTCCTTGCTTCGATTCTTCATGCAAAAGAGCTTGTTGAACCATAGTTAATGGAGCAAGATGGTTTGGAAGCTTCCCCTATTTTGCGATGACGGAATTATTATGTTAAGCGAGTAAATGGTAAGGTCACGTGACGACGAACGACTACAATCGTAGATTCGTACTGTAATTTGATACACGAATGCCTTTCACAGTATGCGGTACAAAGACGTGAGTTTGTTTCAGATTCCAGTTCCTCATAAGTCAGACAGCGAGTTTACTTTTCATCGTAAAGAATAAGCACGAAACGGTTGGATTAACGCGATATTCCGAACGAGGCAGTTGGATGCGACAAGACACAGCTCGAAAACAACAAGTCAACATACATATTTGTGAGAGTCACTTTAAAGAGGAGTATATTGAAAATTTTTCTAAAAGAAAGTCCCTTCAAACATGTTCAATTCCAACAGAAAATCTCCCCGTCAAAAGCTTTGATCATTTTAGCACAAGCTTCACTAGCTAGTGCGCCAAGAATTGGCAAAATTATCGGCGGGAAAAGAACCAGCTCCAAGGGCAAGGCATGTTTCTCAAGAAACTACAATTATATGCCTCTCTTGATAATTTCTATGCATATTTGAAAAAAAACTGGAAGGTATCCGTATTGTCAAGGCTGGAATTGGTTCAAAGAAGGAAAATAACACTGTTATTGAGTTTAAAGAAAGTGAGTACTTTATTGCAAAGTTTTCTGCACGTGTCGTGTTAAATCCAAATTCCAAAGTGAAATTATTTAAAGTATGAAATTGACAATGTTTATATTTCTAAACAACGAATGTTAGTCATGTGGCTCAAGCAATCGTTCGTGATGAAATTGCTTGCCAAAAAATAAATATAATGTTGTATAAATCAGGATTGTAAACACTTTATATGCTCTCTGAAAGCTGAAATATGTTCTAAACATTGTTGTAGTCTTGTAGGCGAGGCTGTAGGAGAACAATTGTGTATGCTGTATAGCAGTGGCGTAACTGCTATGGGCTCAGACCGGGAGAACCCGGGGGCCCCAACCCCAATGAGCCAAATGGCCCCCCCCCGAGAGGCTCGGAATATAGAGCAACGACATTGGCCAGGGCCTTTGATATGTTACAATGTTGTTTTCTGACCATCAGAATTCTGTAATATCTCTCTCCAATGTCCGGGAAATGGCATTTCAGAGAGTCTAGATTAAAAAATTTTCTGGATGAGCATGCCCTGGACACCTAGAAAATTCATGAATATACAGCGCTCGACTTGTGCGTTTGGCACTTCTACTAGGGAGCCTTCGAAAATTTTGAACCAGGGGCCCCCTGATATAACGTTACGCCACTGCTGTATAGTGGTTACTAAATGTTAGTAAATATGCAGTGTATTTTTTCTGGAATTCCTGTGAGTCTACTTTTGAAAACCACTGCACTCACTGAATCATCAAATTTGATGTGTTGATCATTATTGTAATACCGCGTACTTTGTTTTTAATTACTTCGTTTTATTTTTCCGTAACACAGATTGGCAATAGGAGGACAAAGGGGCAGAAGGTCGGATAATCCGGATGCATCACAGTTTCCATATAATGATCAAGCCCTTGATGTCCAACGCAATATTGTACCTATCAAAGCTGGTAACACTGGTAAACGCAGTGCAGAAAAATCCAAGAGGAACGACATCATTGAAGAGCCTCTGAACAAAGCCAAAAGACCAAAAAAGAAGAAATAACAATTGTGTGTTTATTCCTGGACTCCACTTTTTTCAATATAATTGCACAGTTTTAACACCTAGTTATCAATAAGGTGGTTTTATGGTTGACAAAACTTTACCAAATAGAAGGGTAAACATTGTTTACACAATTTGATATATTTTTCCTGCCAAGATGCTTGGACATGCTTTTGTAAAAGTTTTAACACACACAAATTGTTCTGTTTAGATGTTTGCATAATTAGACTATACAAAATAAGTTGCTGATGCATTTCCGGCCTGCAGGCAAATTGTCTCAAACCATGTAAACAAAGTTTACCCATCTATAATCCAGAATGTATCTGGATTCTGGCACATCCCTTGTTATAACTATTCAGGATTGACCTCTGATCTCCGTTGTAGAGTTTTCCTTAAGGCCTTCCTACTATTTGAACTGTTTTGTTTTCTATATTTATTAATTAAATCTCTCGAAAAGGGGAATGCTCAAATTTTTAATATTAAAAAGGTTATGTTCTCAAGGCAAACTTTCGAACAATCGCGAGATATCAAGTAAGTGCATTCTTGTATGATGTTGCTCCAAAGGCTCTTCACTTTTGGACCTTTTGGATTTTCTAGTATATTAGTCCGTAATTCTGAAATTGGAACAGGTTGTATAACATTATGAGCATCAGTCCCATATCGAACAGGGCTTTCAAAATAAGCTGGCGGCCGCCTGAGCCCTGGCAGATGCCACAAGGTTCACCGCCGGTAACTTTGTTCAGTACTTGAAATATCAATTCTGCTCGCCTTCCTCCACTATAAGATTTCAAACAAAGTTATTTTTCTTCAACCTGGTCTACTATATAGCCTGGTTATTTTTGAAAATGACATACTACTATATTTCATAAAATTGATTTAAGTAATTGCCATCTTAAATCTTGAAGTTACCTTGTTGAAAAATGAAAGCAATGATCGATACATCATAATTTGGTTACAGAGCTCGGTTGTGTTGCTATCTAATCAGTAATATACACTAGTTAATTTGGATGACTCTAAGCCCTCTAGGCCGCCCCCTCCCAACAGCCGCCTACTTGAAAGCCCTGTCGAAATGTTTTGTCTACTTCAAACAAAATAGCAATTAAATCGTCACATGGAGTCCACAGTCATCCTCTTGAAAGTGATAAAATAAATTCATTGTCAGATCGTTTCATTGATTGTAGCAAATCCTGAAGTTCTTCTTTATTTGTTGACGTACTTTCTAACATGGATTTCTTTCTAAATTTGTCCTCCTGAACATTTTGGAAATGATTGATCCCATCAAGTAAGAAAGGGGACCATGCTCCCTTTCATTCAACTTCAGGTACAGTATGTGGCCCAGTTTCGGGTCATTTCAGGTTTGAACTGCTATATCTTCCTTTTCAGGAAAGGTACGATTTTTAAATGCTCACTTGAGAATAGGAAAGGTGTTTCTTAACAATATTTCAAAAGATTGACTTTTCTTACCTTTCACTTTTAGAATTATTTATATTTTTAAGCATCATTTTAGGTGCCCAGTATCGGGTCAACTGCACCAGTATCGGGTCACTTCAAGTTTCTTTGTTTATTGTATAAAAGCGTTTGTTTTACGGCAATTTTCGATCATTTTGTATAGTTTCAACATGTCTTAAGTTATTAACAATTTTTTTGTGAGGTTTTGACAAGGTTTAGACATGATATTTCCAGCTTGAAACTACCTCTTCTACACAGTTTTTGCGGAGTGCGTTCTAAGCAGTTACTGTGTATTCCAGCTGGATTTTCGTGCCAAAATGGATTTTATCAGCCAACTTTGTCAATTTTGGGGTGCTGATTTCAAAAAAGTTAGGTACCATTTTTTTCTTCCACGTCATCAGTAAAAAAATTGAGATTCAAAATAGCGGCCATTTTTTTTCAAAATGGCGTCCATTTTTTATTATGTTTTGTTCTATAATTTAGCTCGTCGGCACCGTAGAACAACTATATTGTCCATACTTGTTAATTTTGAGTATAAAAAAGTTGGTTACAGTTCTTTTTCCGATTGCCTCTTCAATTAATTTAATAATTCGTTTGGTTTTAAGATGGCGGCCATGTCTTTTTTCAAAATGGCTACCCTGTTTCATTCACTTTGTGTTTATCTCAATTTGTAGGTACATTGGAAAGCAAATATGCTGGAAATACGCGTAGAGATTCTTAACACAACTTCTTTAATAAAGCTTACAACATATACAAAATAGTTTTGTTTTAATTTAATATGTCCATCTATCCTGTTTATTCATCAATGTCTTCATCCTGATCTGGTACGTCAAAGTCACTAGCGTTGCTGCAGTCACCACATTTGCAAAGTGGTGTGCAGGGTAAGTTATTCTTGTGGCAGGAGCAACGAGCTGTACTGCACTCACTACGACATCCGCACTTGACAAGCTCTACAACCGACTCAGGTGCTGGTGGTTCAAGACATTTCTTTGGAGAAATTGTGCCATCAGATATTGTCTCCCATCCATTATCAGTCAGTAGTGGTGTTTGCGGGCGTGGCTCTCTGTAGCCTTTGTTGATTGCCGATATAGCATTGGCTCTCTGAATGTGCGGTTTCAGTGCTCCAAGTGTGGGTGGCAACTTTTCCGACTCAAGATTCTTGGTTCTGAATAGTTCCCATCTCAGTTCCCCAAGTATTCGGCATTTGCTATTCTTGGCATACACCTCGCACACAAATGATTCTAGAACATCTGACACGCTTTCCTGGTCAAAATCATCTTCGCCAAATTTCTGAAAAGCATCAACTGCATCGGAATCTGATTCCAAAGTTAGATAGTGATTTATCCACCTGCTCTTTGATATACCTGCAAATTTCCCTCCCCAGTCAGCACCGCTAAAGGCGTGGAGGCCCAGTAGACCTTTACTTTTCTCGGTTCCAACTGCTTCACATCTTGTCCGTATGTCAATCGTTCTCTTCGCTTTTCCTTTCCCAGTAATGAACCGAACATGACCTGCAATATTGTTGGACGAGAACAAGTCCATCAAGTATACGAAGACATCTGTATCCGGTGAATACACATCTATATCTCGGGTGTCTCCATCAGTTTTCGATGCATCAAGTACATGCATTGGGATCAATGTGTCTGCCTCTTCGTGTGAGTGTTCAATGATATTAGGATCAACGATATTCGGTTTGTTGCAATATGTCCAGGTTCCATAGACAACCACTACACTTTTATTGCTGTCTGCATATTCACGAAGTACCGCTTTCCCCAAGTATTCTGTCAGTTTAGATTTTGTTTCAATGTGAGAAAGCAAAGTTTTCAGAGGTACAAGTTTGATATTTGTTGCATCGTTAATGTCGAACTTCACGGGATCAATACCAGTAGATCTTTTGCTACGCGTCTGAGCTTTCAGAGAGTTCTCCAAGTATCTGTCAAAGATCACGCGTCCTTCCTCATACCCAGATATTATCTTTTTGATGCTCCGAACAAAGGCGTTAGCAAAATCAGAACAATATACCATCAACGGACCTTTCTTGATAGCTTGGACGATGGCCATGGCATCAATAATGCACACCTTGTTTCGACTCTCGACAGTACTGGGTACATCGAATGTTGAATTTTGTTGACTTGATAGCTCTATG